AAAAAAATAAACGGGAAGTAAAGCACCGTCGTGCCCACCTCAACCTCAAAAATGGGAAGTAAAGCACCGTCGTGCCCACCTCAACCTCAAAAATGGGAAGTAAAGCATCGAAGTGCCCACCTCAACCTCAAAAATGGGAAGTAAAGCACCGAAGTGCCCACCTCGACCTTCACATATTAATTTCGAAGAAAAGGCTGCATGTCACCGGGATCCACTCGTAAGGATGATGTGGAAGCAGGGCAGCCGTCCCAGCTCCAGTCTGCTCCCACGATGCGAGGCTGCACCACGTGTGGCGGGCGTCCCGCTCGACCGTCCTGATAGATAATCCGTTGGGTAGTCCGCAGCAGCAGGCCGCAGACTAAGCGACATCGCCCTCTGCGTCACTGCCAGTCGTACAGCACCGTGCAGTCGGCGGCATGCGAGCAACACGTGCAGTATGCACGTCAGAAGTAGGTGAGCGCGCGTATGCAGCGGCACGCGAGCAGTGCGCGCATGCAGCGCTACGCGAGCAGTACGCGCAGTATGCGCGCCAGAAGTAGATGAGCGCGCGCAGCCAGCGGCACGCGAGCAGTGCGCGCAGCCAGCGGCACGCGAGCAACACGTGCAGTATGCACGCCAGAAGTAGGCAGCGACACGCCAGCAGTGCGCGCAGTCTGCACGTCGGAAGTAGATGAGCGCGCGCAAGCAGCGGCACGCGAGCAACACGTGCAGTATGCACGCCAGAAGTAGGCAGCGACACGCCAGCAGTGCGCGCAGTCTGCACGCCGGAAGTAGATGAGCGCGCGCAAGCAGCGGCACGCGAGCAACACGTGCAGTATGCACGCCAGAAGTAGGCAGCGACACGCCAGCAGTGCGCGCAGTCTGCACGCCGGAAGTAGATGAGCACGCGCAGGTAGCGGCACGCGAGCAGTGCGCGCGGTATGCGCGCCAGAAGTAGATGAGCGCGCGCAGCCAGCGGCACGCGAGCAGTGCGCGCAGCCAGCGGCACGCGAGCAACACGTGCAGTATGCACGCCAGAAGTAGGCAGCGACACGCCAGCAGTGTGCGCAGTCTGCACGTCGGAAGTAGATGAGCGCGCGCAAGCAGCGGCACGCGAGCAGTACACGCGGTATGCACGTCTGAAGCAGGCGAGCGCGCGCAGGCAGCGGCACGCGAGCAACACGTGCAGTCAGCACGGCTCTGCGCTCTCCTGCTGGAGCACAGCGCCGACTCGCTACTGACCTCACACGTCGGCGACAACGCCCTGCGTCTGTGAACAAATCAGACAGAAGGCGCCTCCATTGTCAAAGTTTAGATAGCACCTGCAATGCTCTAATAAT